TGGCTGAATGCTTCCATGCAATGTTCCTCAGCACCATCTTTCAATTCCCCGGCTGTTACACCAAGTGTCACTGGTTTTCCTTGTTGTTGACTCTCATCATAGTTCTTAGAAATGCCTTGATTATTTTTACTTTCGCAGTGGACAAAAATCACAGATGTCAGAGTAATTATTTCTTTTGCAATCTTTTTTTTGTTGTTTCTGACTTTGAAGTAAGTCAAAGTCATGTAGCAATGCAGCATTGCTTTTATAATGCTTCTAGGATGATGCAAAATAAAGCTTGGCAAGTTGTTTCACTTAACAAAAATATTTACCAAGCATGTCTTAAGAGGTAGAATTAGAAATGATGACTGCTGAATTGATTCTTCCAACTCCACCAACCCTTCAAATACAGTGACAACCTGTCCCCGGAAACACTGGAGACTTACATTAAATGTTTCCACGGGTGATTTCTGAGTTATGTTTTGGCTGGCAACTTGCCTGCCTTTTCACACCATCCAAGAACAACCTCTTCAGGCTGAAGCCAGTATTCACACCCTTGACTTTCACTTTATACTGAGGGAACTGGCAAAAGTTTCTGCAGTGATTTGTCGGTAGTTGATATACCTGAGATTGGCCACTGGTGAGCACAGCCACAAACAGTGGAATCCTTAAAGGTTTCATCTTGCAGAACTAATACATACTATCTTTTCATCCACGTTTAATGCACAGTTATCTCATTTAGAAATGTCCCTGTTCTTGACCTTGGCAAATTGGTGACTTGGAGCCATTTCCTTATCTTTAGCAAGTACTAGGCTCTCATAGTGCCATCCTCAGCTGTATGGTATGCATAGTCATCTAGGGGAGAGTGTTTACATGATGGGCTCTTGAGACCTATTGCCAGCACAGTGTGATGCGTGGTTTCTTATAGCTGCTCCCAGTGAGAATTTAAGTGCAAACTACTGAGTAAGGACTGGAGAAGTTGCTCGCTTCATAGCAAGCTTACCTTTCCATGAACTGTTCAGTGTCTGTCTGCATCTTGCCCATCTTCCCTTCTCCACCAGAAGTCTTCAAGGACTCCTCAGTGCAGGGATACAAAGCTATAAGGGAGCAAGAACAGCGCTGGGTGTGCTCTGCCCTGTGTGTTCATGCACTGGAGAGGAAAGGCTGCTGCACTTGTGGGTGTCCTTGGGTTATCAAGGAAATAACGTTCTGTTAGGCACACTGTATTTATTTATGAACTACATAGCTCGCATATGCACAATTCCTAGTTAAAAAAAAAGCTTTTTGTAAGCATTGTTATCCAATGGGTAGAGCTACCATAAAATACTTGAGATTACAAAGTCAGGATTTTGCAGTGTGAGGATTCTGTGATGCAATGAGGCATGGCAGCTTTATCTAGGCAGTAAAGCATGTGCTTGGTTCTTATTCTTGTCTTTTTGAAGAGCATTGAAGCACTTACTCAGTGTTCACCATCTACTTTCCAGAATTGAAAATAAGCTAGTTGAAATTTTTGAACCCAGCAAGTGGATAGCCAATGAAAAATAATTAATGAAAACTCAATAAAATGTAGGTAATATTTATATGGTTAATTTGGCATTTAAGATTCTGTTGGCTGTAGTACTAACATTGTGAAATAAAAACATGCCTGGGTAGATGTGGGGTAACTGCATGACAGATTCTTTGCGAACTTAAAATGATCTATAAAAATTATTTTCTTAATTAGAAATGCCAACACTTTCATCTCTGCCTAGATTAATTTTCTTGGAGCCTCTGACATATTTTACAATTTTACAATACGTCAGATATTCCAGACAGAGAACTAACAGCTCAACCCAGTGTCTAGCTTTATCCAGGCTTCCCAGCTGGTTTGCTGAGGCTGAGGAACCTCATATTGCTTTTGTGTAATCTAATAACTAGGGAGAAAGTGAGGCTAAATGACAGCAGCTGTGGCCCTGACATACCAGATGTGGCTAAGCAGCTCTTTTTGGAAGAGGTGAGGGATTACAAAGAACCCCAAATGATGGGTTAATCCCACTGAGGCTCTGAGGATGAGGGGGTGGGGAGCAATTGTCAGGAGGAATCCACCCCCAAGCTTTTGAGAAAGAAACAAAGAAAAGCTTTGCTAGGCAGCAAAGTCTGACTTGCCAGTGGGGCTCCAAAAGTCGACAGAGATGCTTTTGACTTTGGACTTTTCTTAACCTGATTCAAGGAAAACTCTTCAAGTCAGCATTCCAGTAAAATCAAAGAATTTCCAAATGCAGTGAGAAGCTGAAGTTTGAGACATTCTGGTTTAAATGAGACTTTCTTTTCAACCCTGTCTTTTGATCTGCTGCTTCCATGGCATATCTCTTCAACTGGGTGATACCTGGCAAGGTGGCTGATCTGAGCAGAGATTTGATTTAAGGATTACTTGAATCATTTATGGAGCTCTGAAAATTACTGTCCTCACTGAAGTTACGGTATGGCAAATTTGTGTTATGTACAGCATTTGTCTCTTAAAGAATTTGCTGAGATTAGTCTTTAGTCTTCCAAATTACTATGTTTTAAGATAAACTGTTCTTCCTGCTGGTGCTTCTTGACTGGTTGTTTCCCCTCCCCCCCCCCCTCCATAAAATGATGCCTTCCTGCTGGTGCTTCTTGACTGGTTGTTTCCCCTCCCACCCCCCCTCCATAACTGAAAATGATGCATCTTTTTTGGTATCCGTTTTCTCTCTTTGTAGAAATGACTTACTTGAAGAGTGTGATCTGTCATTTTCATCAGCTATTCCCGGGCACACAAATCTGGGTATTTGAGATTTTTGTTTTGTTTTGATTTCATTCCTGTTTTGATATAATTATATAACATACATATATAGATATAAAAATGATACTTCTATATATTTCTTCTGCTAAAAAAATTTCTGCTCAAGAAAAATGGTAACCAAAGCATTTCTGTCTTGTGTCCATATTTGATATGAAATATTTAGACAGGTTTATGAGTAAAAATTGACAGATTCTGTTTGGTTGTAGTTTGAAATACCTGCAATGATTGAAGCACTCCAGGATATGCATTTTTTTTTCTTATCTGTTTTGAACAGTATCTTCAAGCTCTCGTTGCTTGTTTTGGCATACTGTCCGTAACTTTAAATGATGCATATTCACTTAATTGCGGGGGGATGGTAGAATGAAGTGACTTTATTTCTGTTAGCAGTGTCCTCTGATGTAGGAGTGAGTTGGATGTTTGAGGAAATGTGTTTAGAGCACATACTGCTATGGACAATATTAAATAAAAAACCAAAACCAACCCTTATGTATTAAGGCAAATACCCGAGAAACATTTAAAATACAGAGTAAGAACTTTTCTGCCTAACATCTGATGAGGAAAAGGGGTTCTTGCTTCTGCATACCCAAACCATGCCACTCTCTGGATGAATTAAAAATGGCTGTTACTAGTAACTTATAATCTTATATATACATGTATTTTATAGTCTCAATTCCAAAGGGAATGAATCGCATGTAAATCATGCCCTGTCTTTCTCTGGATTGCCCTCATAACTCTTGATTCTGCTGGTCGCCTGCAGAAAACTTTGGTAAGGATAAAGACAGATACCCAAAGTCCCAGGTCTGGGACATGTTGTCAGGTCTTACTGCACATCTGACGACTGAGGTCAGAGAGGCCTTAGAAATAGCACGGTGTAGTATTCTTGGAGTTCTGTCAAATGCAAGACCTAAATCCATTCACGCAACAAGCATGCTACTCCTCTTATGGTTTCCAGACATTAAGTTTTGATTTCTTGTGTGAATAGGATGGAGAAAAAGTTTCAGATTTGGCAGAAAGCAAATGGCCAGAGGTAGGCTGTTTTACTTAATACATATATATGTAATTCATGCTTTTTTTTTTCCTTCTCCGTAGTTTGATATGCTCTTTCACCAGTATGTTGCTGGAAGAATGTGCTTGAAGCAAAGATCTGAATGTAAAATTTTACTTTTGTGTCCTAATTAAAATCGAGATAATTATCTGCCTACATGTCTAAAATTCACCTTCTACTTGAGTACATTTTCAAAAATATCATCAGATATTTTAAATATCTTTAATCTTGGTTATATTTCATGCTGTTGTGATGCATTTGCCAAGAATGGAGGGATAAAAGTCTACTTTGTTAGTGGAACTGCATAGTATCTCACTGTCTAAACAAGTGTGAATTTTGGGAGCTGGTTTTAAGTTATTTGAGATCACTGTTTTCATGTGTATGCTGAGATCTAGAAAATGGACAAAGCTCATAAAATTTTGGCGGTGTTTGGATTTTTTTATTTTCATACTAAGCTTGCTGCTGGTTTTGCATTAAGCCACCTTGTTCTTTGGTAGAATCATGGAAGTACAGATTCTGAAATGTCTCAAAAACTTATTTTGGGTTTCTATAGAAGTTTTCCTTTTGTTCTAGTCTGTATGAGAAGACATCATGTTTTACCAGTGGAGTCTGCAATATATGTTTAAAAGAGGATATTAGATAACAACTGTGAATAAAAACTAGTGCTAGGAGATTATCACCTCTAAGAATTTGAAAGCGGAGACCGATGTGCTGCACAGTGCAAAGCGGACAACATGGTCTAGAGTTTGAAAGGCACTACAAAGGTGTGCTAGAGGATGTTCTCTCAAGCACTGGTATATTGAGCATTTCTGAGGCCCCAGAAGGGTGCAGAGCCAGGCTTGTCAGCTTTGTTGACTTCTGCTATGCTGCAAATCTTCTGTGCTGCGTTCTGCATTATGGTAAATATCTCCAGAACCAGGTTCAACACAGGTGCTGCAGACAAAAACATTATTCCTCTGTTGTATACCTCCAAGACACTCATTCTCATATGTGCACAGATAGCGCTGCATGGGTGGTGTGTATATGGCCATGAATTTCTCTGACATGCCCAGGTCTTTGTTGCTAATGTGACTGATTCAAAGTTAGCGAGTTTAATCATAGGTATCACAAAAATGAGAAGGGTTATTTAAAAAGCGTTCAAACCAATATGAATTTATTTCTTCGTTTCTTTAGGAGACATCACTCAGAAAGGATATGAAAAGAAAAGAGCAAAGCTGTTAGCACGGTACATACCACTAATTCAAGGTAAGAAACTGTATATAAGTTATACCTTTTGCGCTAAATCTGTGGAAAATATGTAATGGAAAAGTTGTCACTAAATAGAATAGATGAATTAATAGTGTTTGATTGACATGGCATCTAACCAGTGTTGGAAAATGGCTATTACAGAGAAGTGCAGAACAAGAAAGAAGTCTGACATTTTTTTTTAACATTTTATGTGAAATGTTAAATGATAACATTTTTGTCAGCAAACTTTAGTTTGAGAACTGCATCCAAGACTTTAAGATAACTTTAAAAATGAGTAAAGTTATTTCTGAAAGCAAGTTGGCCAGTTTCATGAAATGAAAACACTCACTAGTCATTACTCTCATTCTTTAGTGAGCTTTTTTTACACATGCCCTCTGCCTCCCGCCCGCTCTCCCCCCCAGTTTCTTCAAAATACTGACTTTTTATTATAACTATTACTTCTTAAGCTGGTTATTATCATAATTTATCTTCAATGACCAAAAGCTAAATGCCCAACTTTTTTTTATTTATTTTTATACTAGGACACTTAAATCACTCGGTTAAACCTGTCGTGCTGCCATTGAGCTTTGGTCTTGTATAATAACCCTAGGCCAATTCTTCCATAGCTTGAGAGATTCTGGTTGAGATAAGGGAAAATGAGAAGACAACAGAGATGAGCGGAACAGATAATGAGACACTGTAGGTAGATGAGGAAAAAAGAGTAACAGGTATTATTTTACAATGTTAGTGTTATGCTTTCAGATCAGAGAACAGGGGGATTAATGCTGTGATTTTGGTCCTGTTTTGGTTCTGATATTTATAGAAGTTATTGATTTGAAGGAGGAATGGGCATCTCCAGCCAGTTTTGTGCAAATTGTTGAACTAGATGATAGTCCCTTTTGCTTTTGAAATCTTGATGCAGTGACCCCTGTGGCTCTTCATAGCAGGATAGACAAAAGTTTTATTCTCATGAGTTCTGCTGACCGCTGAGCTGTGGTGTTTTAGAAAAAGTCATACGGTGTGTATTTGGCGTTGAACAGTTAGAACATGATGTGGTGTTTCATCATGGAGTTTCTTAGCACAGGTTGGTTGTTGTGTTTTGTGTTTTTGTTTTTTTTTTTCTTTTTAAGAACAGCTGTAGTTTTTCCCTTAGCAAATTTATAATACTCTGTAGACCACGCAGAACCTAACTCATCTCTATAAAATGACTCATTCCTTGAATAGAAGCAGTTTGGATTTTTTTGATAAATATTGCAGTCAGCAGCAAGGTCTAGCTTCACCTGCCACAGCTTCTCCTCCTTACACCATTTTTCTCTAAGGAACTGTCTCACTTTTCTGTTCAAAATACCCTGTCCTCCAACTCAGCTTAGTTAAATATTTTGAGACCGGGCTAAGTATAGATTTTGGCTGAGGACTAAGTTACGGAAATGTTCTTTCAATGAACTCTGTCTACTAGAAAGTCATGTCTTTGGATTTCTGTCTCTTGTTTTAATCCCTCATAACCGTTTATTTACTCTGTCTTCTTTCTATTGATAGAGGTTTTCTTTTTTTTTTTTTTTTTTCCCCCCTCTCAACCCTTAAATGGAAAGGCTGTTTGTACAAATAGTTCAAGTTCTGAGCTCTCAAGTGTAGCTTAGGAAGGTACAGCACTTTGTCTTCCATACCTTTTAAAGTAAGTTTTAAAGCTAGGATGCAGTGTAAAGCACCTTTGTTCCCCTTTTCTGCATGAATACTGCTGGCCCCCTGTCATATTGTAACGCTTGGGGTCTTAGAAGCAACACTGACTCCTGTGCAGGGTTTCCAGGGATGTTAGAACTGATTAAATTCAGTTGTCTGCTCTAGAAGCCTGCTGTGATACCTGTATAATTTCCAAAGGTGTTTTGTAATACCCTGTTTAGGTAACCTACTCGTTCAGGAACTTCCTCAGCTGAAGTGGTGTATGAAACTACAGGATTGACTTGTTAGACAGCTTTGGAAGAAAAAAAATGAGTAGGAAAAATATGTTTATGGCACTCTTTTAGAATTGTTTTCGCTGAAGCTTCTCTTTCAAACTTGAGGCGTTCAGGAGTGTTTCATTCAGGAGAAGTGACTTTGTATAATCTAGGTTAACACCTTAACATCCTGGACAATACCTGTAAGAAAGCATGTCCTAAGGAGATGGCAGTGCAAGTCAGTGGTCTCCTATTTTGTCTGTGACTTGATACTAGGCTCAACTAAGAATCCTAGGTCCCTTTAGATTTCCAGCTACTTAAAAATTTCTCCTTGTTCAGCCAGGTTTTCCCTAATCATCTTAAGGAGTGGTCAAAAATTAGCTGATCCTATGGTTTGTCCTACTTGCTTGATACCACATTTTCTAAGAAATACTGGATTACCCAATTTGTCTACTGCTTCTGCCTAGCTTTGCATTAAGATGACAGGAATCTAGCTTTAATATGCTAAAAAGAGAGTGAGCGAGCTGTCTGCCTCTGAGCACAAAGAATGATACTCTGGCAAAAAGACAAAGTTTGCTTAAAACCCTAAGCTAACTCCTTATTTCCATTTCCTGACACATGTTCCATTAACCCAGTTCTAGCTTGGAATTTTGTTAATTGACACAGCTTCAGCATGGCTCAGATTAATGTGTGGGAGTCCCAGTGGCTTTGAGCCTGCAGTATTTTTTTATCATTAACAATTTGATTGCAGGATTTTTTTTTCCTTTGCTCAGTAGCATTTCTGATAGGATTTGTTAAGTTTCCCATTATCCATCAAGTTTTTGCAAACTGATGGATGCAAGCATTTTAGATTTGAAGAGTCTGTGATTTGACCATCCCCAGGACCAATAACTCGTGTCTTTCTAAAGCTGATTTGGTCATCATTTCTTTTCCAAGTATATGCATTGTCATCTTTTCTCTGTTGGTCTATGAGATAAAGACTGCTGACCAGTTAATTTTATCTCATGTACTTATTTGAATTTCACAAAACCTGATGTGTTCCTCATAGTGCATCAATACCTAGCTCTACTTGTTTTGTTACAAAGCTTTAGTTGATAGTACAATTCTGCTGAATCGTAAGGTTTTTAACAAGATGTAGGGTGGGCAGTGAAAGTATTGAGTAAGAAATAGAATTCCTGGTGAGAGGCAGGAAAGTAGAAAAAGGAGTAATGGGAAAATTGTTTGAAATGAAAAGGTTTGATTACTGTTGGTTTATGAAATATGAAACAATTAGAGAACTTAAGGTAGGACTGCATGTTGATGTGGTGCTTGTAAAGAAGGAAAAAGTGGTGGCACAGGTTTGGAAGCAACTCTGGAAAGAGACGGCTTAAATTGAGAGGGGAGGGTGACTGTTCTGTGAATCTGCTGTAGGTTCTCCAACTTAGACTTGAACGTGGACAGGGTTTTCTACGATTTTGGGGTGATTCTTCTGTCTTGTTAGAAATTGGAAACAGATATCTGTAATCATAGCATTCGGATTTACATGGGTAGTTGATGGGATCTTTTATGAGTCAACAAGTTGTATGATCTTTGTGTTTTAAAGCATACTCATAATACTCGTAAAATTTGAGTTCTGGAAGTTTAACTTTTCATGTTATACCTCATCAGCTGCCACGTAAAAACTGATCATGTGAGAACTCCTGCTCTTTCAATGCCATGTAAAATGGATTGGATTAAGTTTCTACTGCACTGTGTAGCTGAATCTGTGGGGAACCAAATCATTATACAGACAGTGTTAAATAACCCCACAGAGGGCTTGGTGAATAGAAAAAGGCAGAAGTGGCTGCAAAGCATATTTTCAATTAACAGTAAAATTAAGTAGAACATGTTAGTATTCAGGAGTTGCATTCCTGTAGGCTCTGTTTTGCATTCTAAAATTCTAAACCTGCACTTACGAAGAGTTAGCGGAAATGTTAGATTTCACTGAGGAACCATAAGACTATGTAGTTTACGGGGAAATACTAATTAAAATGTGTTATCTTTCACTAATCCAACCAAATGCACTGTGCAAAAGTAAAAAGAAGTGTTGACTAATAGCAAGCCCTAACAGTAATCAGTCAGTAATGAGTTTCCTCAGTCAACCTCTGCACCCAAATTTCAGATAAAACTCTGAGGAAGTCATTAATTATATCCGTACGCAATCTGGCATGCTGCTAAGGTGAAGCTTCTGAGTGAAGCCATCAGACACATTGCAAAAATACATTTTGAATGTGGATAGAGCTTGGGTGTAAAAAGATTCAGAAATAACATGATAAAATGAGCAGTGTTTACAGTGAAATTTGGTAACTTGCATCCTGGAGTGTACTGTCCTGATGGGGAGCAAATACAGTACTCCCTTCTCACTTTTTTTCCTTGTAGCCAAAGTTCATCACCATTTTTCTGTTGAATTTCAGGAAACTTTTGATGGTTAAAGGAACTGTTTCTTTCTAGAATCACTTTGTATTCCCACCTGTGGGATATATCTCAGAATGAGAAACAGTACCAGGGATGATGGCAACTCCAAAAGCCTCATTATAAGCAATCCTGGTGCTGTGCTTGGGAGAGCAGGTAACTTCTACCTGTGAAGTTAACATTTGTTGTTGGAGCATCAAAAAATTCATGTCAGGTAGTGGAATGTCATGAGCTGATTGTTGAATGTGAAATAAATAAAATTTCTTCTCTGCACTCAAATGTGATATGTTGGTAACTGTAGATTTCTTTTTAGTAGTTGTCATGCCATTATCTGAATTCTGCTGATACTCCAGACACTTGAAATAATTTCAAAGCTATTTTAACCAAAGGGGAAGATGAAATATGAACCTCTGAGGTTCTGACAGCAACCAGTCAGTCACTTGAAGGTAGTCTGCATTCTCTTTTGTTAAATAGGAATTACTCTGGAACCATCCTTTGCTACTGTGGTAATTTCCTGCTCACCTACCAGCTGTTTCTTTAAAAAAACAAATATTTTTTGTAGTTTTAAAAGCTTGGCCAGTGTAGTTGTTCGATTTATAGTTTAATCTATATTATATATATAAAAAAAACCCAGCCACACTGTTTTACATATATAAT